GTACATATCGTCTGCTCCCACTTCATTCAGGAGACCACCTTCTTCCCCAGAAGCTTCAGTGTGTGTTGGATATGCATGTGGCTGCCCCTGTTGATGTGCACTGAACAGCCATCAGAGGCTTCTTGGTGTCAATCATCTCTAGAATTTGAGATTCCACAGTTAGTGCCATGACAGGAATATGGATGCCATTGCCTGCCCACTAGCAACACCCTGGTGCATCTAAAGTGATGCTTAGAGAAATTCTTCCTGAAACACTGTAGAGCTCTGAGGTCTCCTGTCATTAACCTATAATTGGGAAGAAGGTAGCTGGGTTCCTTATGCACAAGGATCTCCATGCCAAAGACTTGCAGTGCTCTTGGGTTCCCAAACAGGTAAAGGTGGACTTGGACTGACAGGCCAAAGGCAGACAACATCCCATGGGAACACTTTTAGAGGCTTCTTGCAAGGTCTTAGCTTGGACACTTACTGCATTGTAGACCTCCAGAAAATTTCCAGACTCTAAACACTAAGATGGCACATCCTCCCACACTGAATCCCAGAGCAGAGACTCAGTTCTCAGTGACCTCACAAGGTGGGGTGGGTTGCTGGTAATGGAGTTTCTAAATAGCAGCCAGCAAGACCACAATGGTGGTGAGCTGTCTGCTCATAGTGTGGTCTGATCCTCTGGCATCCAGGGCAGCTCAGCTCCAACAGGTCCTAGCTAGCCTACCACTCAGTAAGTGTCTTTGCTGAGCTCATGGAGCCCACAGATGTCCTCATGACCCATGCTCACCACTTGGTTGCCTTGGCTGGGGAAGAACAGCATAGAACACTGGCCAGAAGTCCATTGCTCTCTTGCTACCCGGGGCGTCCAGCCATACCTTATGACAACTCTGCCATCTTAACAGTAACTAGTGGAAGCATAGAGAAGCTCAAGGCCTCTCAGTGCCACCTGGTGCCACAGCCTGAGGCCCTCTCTGCTTTCTTCTACAGATCAGTAGAATGATTTCTGGAGTCCTCTATGCATCTCCAGCACTTAGAACTTGAGGTCTTGCTCCTCTTCCAGTTGAAGGAAAACAAGTCTTTCCACGGCTTCAACATCGTATGGTCTCACCCTTCTGGGAAGAGCAAACTGTCTAAAGGTTCTTAATGAGCCCTTAGCACCAAGGGAAATAGGAAAACATGTCTCTTGGAAACCTTGGGGCACCATTGTTGGTACCAGTGTAACCAAGACTTTCCGTTGAAATAGCAGTCTAGTTAAACTTCCTCTCTGGCCTCAGGAAACTTCAGGACAGGCCAGAAAGCCTGGATTGTATTAGTATGGCTGCCTTCCTACTGACCTCCTTAAGCCTAGTCAAAAATCTCACTTGAGTGGACTTTTGGTCTTTCCTCCATTGCTGGGCTATCTGTGATCAAAGGCTAGGTCACGAACACAGGTCCCTTGGGTAATGAGGACAGGGGTTTGAAGCCACCTCTTTACTTGTGGGACTTGAGTCAGAATTAATTTCATCCTTCCCAGATGAGTTGGTCCAACATCAAAAGCAATCCGTTGTGTCCTGATGGCTGTGGCTTAACCTGACCTTTTCTGGGGAGGAAGAAAATGACAGTGGTCTGTATCCCTGGAAAATCTAATCACCTTGAAGGACAAGAGTTTTCCTGGCCCAGTAGTGCTTACTCCACCCAGGACTGATTACTGAAAACACTCTGGGAAGCCCAAACTGGTTCACAGAATGTTTATGAAGTTCTCTGCATGCCCAGCTAGGGACAGGGATGTCCATCCCTTTGGTTTGCAGTAACTGTACAATGTTGGATCAACACCTTCCAGAAAACACCCGTGTCTATCACGGACCCTCCTCCTCACATGTGGGGTCTCTCTGCATCCCAGGGGCATGTAGATGCCAAGCTCTGAGGTCCTACATCTAAGAACTGGAGGAAGAGTATCCATTAAAGCAGAGGTTGGTTCCTCCTCTCAGAGTCAGAACAAGGCATTTTTGACAGTACCCAGGCCTCTGGAATTCTCCTTCCGGCCATCTCAGCACAGTTGGAGGAGCAAAGGCCAGGTGCAAAGCTCACTGCGCAGACACTTCTTTAGCAGAGCTTGCTTGGGAAGGATTCCTGTTGATATCTGGCCCCTTACTGATCTCCATTGTTAGTTTTAGTCAGGATGCCAGGATTTTGTGAAGTAAACATTTGTACTTGATGAGTAGATTTCCCAGAGCTATCTGGGCCCATGGAAGAAGTGTCAACTGGCTGGACAAGGTGGCACACACCTTTAATCCCAACACTCAGGAGGCAGAGGCACGGGAATCTATGAGTTTGAGGCCAACCTGCAGAGTGAATTCTAGTACATCCAGAGCTACACAGAGAAACCCTACCTTGAAAAAAATAAAGCAGAAAAGAAAGAAAAAGAAAAAGAAAAGAAAGAAGTGTCAACCAACCCCAGTTGGCAAGAATAATGTCATCTACAGGAGAAGTAATTCTTTCTCTCTCTCTCTCCATCTCCCTCTCTTTCTTTCTCGTCCCTTTCCCTCTCCCTCCCCCTCTCTCTCTCTGCCTCTCTCTCTCTCTCTCTTTGTTTGTTTTTTTCAAGACAGGGTTTCTCTGTATAGACTTGGCTGTCCTAGACTCACTTTGTAAACCTGGTTGGCCTCGAACTCACAGAGATCCGCCTGCCTCTGCTTCCCTGAGTGCTGGGATTATAGGCATGCGCCACTGCACCCACTTTCTCATATTGATTAGAAAACTGTATATATTTCTCCTCACACTGATGAAGTGTCTCTCTCTTTTTTCCTTTATGTGCATGTGTCTTTGTGGGAGATGTGCATGTAGTACCTGCAGAGGCCAAGAGGGGCGCTGGATCTCCTGAAACTGAAGTTACAGTTGTGAGCTGCCACTGGGGGCTGGGATCTGAACCAAGCTCCTCTACAAGAGCAGCCAGTGCTCTGAACCTCTGAGCCCTCTTTTCAGCCCCCTGATGCCATTCTGTCTTAACGACATTACCAGCTTTGCTTTATTGTGGGCATACACCATACTGAAGCCTTCCATGTCCCCATCACTTAGGACCATGTCTGTCACGGGGGAATGCTCCTAAATAAAGTACATGTGGGGACAGGTACCCCTGTCACTCAGCCTCTTCTCATCCCTGCACACCCCTGCTTCCAGCGCAGCAGGCTGCTATAACTGTTTGGATGTCACCATATGTGGGCCCTGGCAACAGAGTGGCCATCACCACTCCTCCCTTGCTACCTTCCGGTCTAGTTATAGAAAAATGTATGTGTGCCATGAAGTCGTGTAGAATGAACGTGACACGTTGCTCTTTGTACCTCTTCCCTGCCAGTCGCTCTGCATCAGGAGTCCTACTTCCATGGCAAATTGACACTATAGTCATTAAATAAGATGACAAACATAAGGCAAACTCTTTAGGGTAGAGGGTCACACCCCTTCCCGACAGCCTTACACTAAGTCAACAACAGCCTCACATCTGCCCAGACACCTCTAAACTTTCCAAATGCAAATCCTCTGACCATTTCCCGCTTTCCATTTCTTTAAATTAAAGGGTGCTTCTTGAGTGTGGGTACTTGTCAGTAACTTTGGGAAAGAACATTTAGACCTATGGGTCATCTGAGCTAACTAGACTCAATGTGGCCCACAGTCCTGTGGTTCTCAAGGGTTTTCCCCTAGTCCCTCAGCTCCAAGTTTCGTTTCAGACTCACTGTCCTGTCTGTCTCTTCACTGGAATGTCTAGGTGGCATCTAACTTTGCATACAAGAAGTGTAACTTTGGTTTTCCACCCAGCTCTGCTCTTCTGTCTCTTTCCACATTGGGCAGTGGTGCTACTGTCTACCCAAGGGCTGGATTAAAATTTGGATAAAGTCATGTTTGGCTTTCCTCAGCTTTATGAATCTGATCCACCTATAAGACATCTCAGTTCTGTCTAGAGCAGTCTACCCTATACCCCGCTACCCTAATCCAATCTGGCATTATCCAGAAGTTTCCTTTCTCCACACATGCCTCCTATGAATATATACACATTTATATGTATATATGTGTGTAAATATATATTACATATATGTATAAATATATATCTTACATATATATATATACAAATTAAGGGGCTGGAGAGAAGGCTCTGCAGTTAAGAGCTCAGGTTGTTATTCCAGAGGACCCAGGTTCAATTCCCGGCACCCACATAGCAGACCACAACCATCTCTAACTCCAGTTCCAGGGGATCTGATACCCTTCTCTGGCTTCTATGGACACTGCACACATGTGGTACACAGACATCCGTGTAGGCAAAACATTCCTCATACACATAAAATAAAATGTTTTAACATGTAAATTAGATCTTAATGAGTCTCCTTCATAAAGTATGTTTTTAAACATTTCGGCTAAAATCTTTTCTGTGCACTGAAAACCTCCTCACTGTCTAGAGCCTGCCTGTCTCTCTAGCTTCATCTTCCCCCGGCTTAGGTATTCCACATCTGTAAAGTGGGGACAACAGGAGTAGTGAGAGTCCATGACTTTCTGCTCCTTCCCGTGGCAGGAAGGCCTCAGCGATCACTGGAGCCAGAGCAAGTCCTCCAGGTAGCTCTCCCCCGTACTGGTCTAACATCTGGCCACAGGGGGTGCTTGAGCCAGAAAGACAAGTGCAGGCACCCCAGGGAACCAGGGTTGCTGAAAGAGTTAAAAGGCTCTTTCTCCAAACCCAGGCCCTCCCTCTCCTGTGTCTGCTTTATGGGCTTAATGAGAAATCCAGGCGCTGCGCAAGAGACTGTGCAAATAACTTCTGGGGCATCGCTAACTCATTCAGCAGGGAGAGGCTTAAGGCTGCCAATGCTTCAGGGAAGATAAGTGAGTGGAAAGAGGTGGTTTCTACAGCATCGGGCAGGCAGTGTGAGCTCCTCCCCTGCAGAACTGAAAAGCCAGCTTAGGCTCTCTAGCCCCTCTTCAAGACATTTGATTAGGAATTTGGGGGCGGGCCCTGGCCTGGCACAGACTTGCACACTCTCCGTAGGCACTCACTCTCTCTTCCTCCCTCTCACATTCTCCAACCCAAAGAGACCAGACAGAAGGACGTGGTCACTCTGAACGGTTCAACCCAAGGTAAGTGTAGTTCTATTTCTTTAGGTTTTGTCCCTTGCAATTCTATAAAAAGAAATGAAGAAAACTAGCAAGGCTGGGGAGAAGAGCAGGCATAGATGAGTTATTCCTCCCACTTGATCCATGCCCCCCCCAGGGATGCTGAAGAAAGAAAACGGCAGGGGACATGGGATCCAGCAAGTTACCTGTCTCCTACAGCTTCCTGTGGGTGTTGGAGACCTCCGGTTCACAGACATGAAAACATGAAAAAAGTACAAGAACCTCTCTGCTGCTACACACGAACCCCAACATGCTGGGGCTCAGGGAGAATAGTCTCTGAATGTCTCAAAATTCTCTCAGAGAGGTTAGAGGGCAAGCTTTGTGTAATGTGTGTGTTGTTGGGGTGAAAGGGGGAGAATAAAGACTGGATGGTATCCAGGGAGTCATGCATGGAATGGACCACTAGAGTAGGAGATGGTTTTTAGTTTGCCCTCAGCTCTGATAGGAAAGACTTTTCCTAGAGTGGAGAAATGAAATAGTACAGTAATAGCTCCTGGGTCAGGATCTCTAAGTCTGAGAGAAATAGTCCTGGAATCCTCACACTGAGAATTGTGTTCTCTAGCTCAACAAGAATCAACTTAAGAGAGTGCAACCCTGAAGCGACATTCTAGATCTAGTGGGGTGAGGACAGGCCTGCCCTCCTACCAAGCCCTTCTAGCAGCCCTACCTCTGAGGAAAGGCCACTGTGGCTGGGCATGGAGCCCCATGGAAAGCTGAATCTCAACAAGGAAGGTAGCTCCCCTCTGCCAAAGTGCCTAGTCTGGAAGAGGGAGAAATGGAGACAGAGGCGTAGTGTGCCAGCCCTCTCTAAACAGCCACCTTGGTCAGTCCTGCAGCAGCCCAGGGCTGTGCATGGAAAAATGCTTTCTTGGCAGAGGGCTGCTCCATCCATCTTCTCTCCTGGCCTGAGTCAGGGGCCAACCAGCATCCTAGGCAGTGGGCAGTTGAGTCTGCTCCTTAGAAACACTGTGGTTCTTTGTTCAGCAGCTTTGGCTGGCCAGGGATGAGCCAGGGTGCCCGTTCTGAGCCATGCAGGGAATGGTGGGAGGAAAAGACCTAATGGAACTGTTTCCATGGAAGAGAGGGGCCCAACAGGGATGGTGCCCAGAAGTTGAGTAGTTGGAGTGTCTCAGTCAGGGATTCTCTCATCAGTTCTGATGTTGTCTTTCACGCGCCTCTCCTGTCCTGTCCAGTTGCCGACCCCAGTACAACCCAATGGTGAGAGCACCAGGAAAAGCACTGTCTGTCTTAACACTTGTTTCGGGGGTCTCCCTGCTCGCAGGACTATGCAGTGCACCAGTGGTAGGAACCTGGGGTAGAGTAGAGCACCCGGATCAGATACGACACCCCTTGTCCCCCATCTTCTACACCTCCAGCCTCCCTGCTGGAGACCCCAGCATGCCTTGTTCTTGACTTGCTGGCGAGCTTCAGTGCAACAGGCTCCTCAGCAGCGTGGGTGCAAACTAGGCCTGGAAATCCAGGTGACATCACTTGGAGGAGGTGGCTTAGATGAAGAGAAGGGGTGCACCAGGCATGATGGTGCATGACTTTAACCCAGCACTCAGGAGGAAGAGACAGGTGGATCTTTGGGAGTTCAAGGCCAGCCTGGTCTAGATAGTGAGTTCCAGGACAGCCAAGACTGTGTAGAAAGACCCTGTCTCAAAACAAGGTGGGGAAAGAGCAAGGATACTAAATCCTCCTGGCTACCTTCCCTCCCTTTCATTTCTATTCCAATTTTCAGCATCCCTATTCATCCCCACTGGCTCTCATATGGCTCTTGCAATCCCCATGGTGGGTGAAAAGAGTGTCAAGTCCTTTCAGTCTTCAAGACCACAGGAGAGAGATGCAAACCAGGCCAGGCACAGTACAGTCTGCCCAGAAGACAAGCGCTAGAGTGGCGCTGGGTTCCCAGTCTGGAAAGACTGAAGTCTGGGTTCACACATAGCCACAAGCTGCTAACCCGTGCATTTTTCTCACCCAGAAGACTCACAGGCAATGGCACTTTGGAGAATAGCCCAGACCTTGTGGTGGCCACAGGGGGGCCACACCCTCCCACACACTCAGGGCCAGAAACCCCCAGGCTGTCCACAAGACCAAAAGATCTTCCAGAAGTAGCTCAACTATTCCCTTTTGAAGTCTCAGTCAGTTCTGTTGGTTTCCTGGGCCTGGAAAGAACCAGGAAACTCCTGGCCTTGAACTCTCAGAAAAGATTTTCTGGGGAGTCCAAACTAGATGGGAATTCAGACCTCAAAGTATCCCACCATCCTGGTACAGGAAGGTATATAATTATGGGAGGGGAGAGGGACAGACAGAGAGGGGGTACTGTGGGCTTCTCAGTTTCAACAACAGAACCTGGGGGTGCTAGAGGATACCGAGGACCTGCCTTTCCCGAAACTAGCCCCACACCTCTCAGGTTCCTTTCTGCTCTCAGGCTCTTCTCATTGCTGCATGACCAGAAGCTAAAGCGCTGACTCCCTAACACCCAGGCCCAGCTCCCAGGGTGTGCGCAGCCAGTGGGAGGAGGCTCCGAGGAGGAAAAGCGCAGCTCCTGCCCTCCAGTGCTTGGCTGCATAGTCACAGTGTCATCTACGTAGCTCATAGCCGAAAGCCAGCCTGAGCGCCCCAACTGCCCTTCTGCACTTTTCCTCATGCCCCCACTTGCTCTGTTCTCTCCCTTTCTACAGAGACAAAATGCAGTGGGCCTCCATCCTGCTGCTGGCAGGGCTCTGCTCACTTTCCCAGGGCCAGTATGATGAAGACTCTCACTGGTGGATCCAATACCTCCGAAGCCAGCAGTCCACCTACTACGACCCCTATGACCCTTACCCCTATGAGCCTTCTGAGCCTTATCCCTATGGAGTGGAGGAAGGCCCAGCCTATGCCTACGGCGCACCACCCCCACCGGAGCCCCGAGACTGCCCCCAAGAGTGCGACTGCCCCCCCAACTTCCCCACAGCCATGTACTGTGACAACCGCAACCTCAAGTACCTGCCCTTTGTACCCTCCCGCATGAAGTATGTCTACTTTCAGAACAACCAGATCTCTGCCATCCAGGAAGGTGTCTTTGACAATGCCACCGGGCTGCTCTGGATCGCTCTACATGGCAACCAGATTACCAGTGACAAGGTCGGCAGGAGGGTCTTCTCCAAGCTGAGGCAGCTGGAGAGGCTATACCTGGACCACAACAACCTGACCCGGATGCCAGGCCCACTGCCTCGATCCCTGAGAGAGCTCCACCTGGACCACAACCAGATCTCACGGGTCCCCAACAATGCTCTGGAGGGCCTGGAGAACCTCACGGCACTGTACCTCCACCACAATGAAATCCAGGAAGTGGGAAGTTCCATGAGGGGCCTCCGGTCCCTCATCTTACTAGACCTGAGTTACAACCACCTCCGAAGGGTGCCCGACGGTCTGCCCTCTGCCCTGGAGCAGCTGTACCTGGAACACAACAATGTCTACACCGTCCCTGACAGCTACTTCCGGGGGTCACCCAAGCTGCTGTATGTGCGGCTGTCTCACAACAGTCTCACCAACAACGGCCTTTCTACCAACACCTTCAACTCCAGCAGCATTCTTGAGCTCGACTTGTCCTACAACCAGCTGCAGAAGATCCCTCCCGTCAACACCAACCTGGAGAACCTTTACCTCCAAGGCAACAGGATCAATGGTGAGATCTGGGGGAGGGAGACGACTCCTTGAATGCTAATGGGAATACAAAAGAAAGAAGCACAGGTTGCCAAATGATCAAGCAAAACACTAACCACCAAGTCCCATAGTGCACATACGTGCGGTGGCCCTCTGGCGGAGGCAAGAGAGGACCACTAAGTTGGTTGGCTCCAATGACACTTCCTAGGAGAAGCAAGCTTCAGTTTAAGGCTTTCAAGGCGAGTGAGTGTATGGGGCAGGTCTGGGAAGGCAAGATGAAAACAATTAGCACAGGAAATTGCCAGAAAGAACTGGCCACTTAGCAAGTCACCTGTTGGGAACAGCCATCTATGCAATGTTTTGGGAGCTCTGAGTTTAGAGAAGTGCCAGAGTAACTGGTTCCCAATTTGTGGTCATGGCCTCTTATGGGGTCAAATGACCTTTTTCACAGGGGTCACATATCGGATATCCTGCATATCAGATATTTACATTAGGATTCGTAACAGTAGAAAATTGCAGTTATGAAGTTTCAATGAAAATAATTTTGTGGTTGGAGGGCACCACAACATGAGGAACTGTATCAAAGGGTCGCAGTGTCCTCAGAGGGTTGAGAACCCCTGCTACAGAGGGATAGTCATGGAGAAGGAGACTCTGTGTGATCTTCTGGGGTCTACCTTAAGGGGAGGTTTGGCTGCTAGGTCTCTGAGAATCCTTACAATCACCAGGGACTGCAAACTCTCTATTTACCCTCATGACTCCCACCTGCACAGCTGGTCTCTTGTTTTTAATGTTTGTTTTTTCAACTTACCAATTGATGAACAAAAATGGGTAGCCTCCCAGAACTGAATGTGGGACTTCTTGCGGGTTCTCCCTGGAGTCCAAGGAGCCCCTGGTGGCAAGGCAAAGCTCCTCCCTGAGGCAACATGAGCCTGGCCACCCAGAAGCCTTGAGGAGGGAGCATAGGACTGTGTGCTGTATGAGAATTTCCCCACACAGGCAGGACTGCCTCTCTGAGGTTGAGAGCTAAAAGATGAATTTCTGATTGCCCTTTCGGCCCCTTTCTGCTAGGATCTCCTGTTCAGTACATGCTTGCATTATTTCAGTAGCTTCTGATGTCTTGATCTCAGCTGGAAGGTACTGAGGCAGCATTTAGCCTCGATCCTCCTGGGGCTCAGTACTCTGCTCTAGGGAATGGAGGCCTGCAGTTGACGCAGAGGGCTTTGAAGTTCTTTCAGCCTGCTGAGAAGGAATGTGCCATCAAAGCAGCACAGGAGAGACCCAGTCCTGTCCTCTCTCCCTCCCTCTCTCTTCTTAGGGGACAGAGCGGTCATTTAGCAAGATATTAATAGCCAGACAGCCTCTCTCAGAGGGAGTGGAGGAGGGGCTCTGAAGTCTAAAGGTGTCTGTCTGCTCCTTTCATTTAAACTGCAAGGCACCGGTTTGTTTTTGTTTTCGTTTTGTTTCATTTTTGTTTGTTTGTTTGTTTGTTTCTTTGTTTTTCACATCTCAGGTTGGTTTTTACTTAAGTATCTCTTTCTGGGGAGGATTCCTGTTAGTCCCACGGTGATGGTGGGAGTCATTCACTCTGTCTAAAGATACCACACCATCAGAGTTTGGCATTTTCTCACAGCTTGCCGTCCGCTGATTCTGAATCCAGAAGAGCTGTCACGGAAGAAATGTCACACTGTATGCTGTACCTCATCCAAGTGTAGCGATGAACATGTGGCAGGAAGGCACTCTGGGAAAGAGAGCATGAGCTAATGCCTCACTCTCCAATCAGAGAGAGGTAGCCAGGATAGGCTTTGTCACACCATCTCACCACCCTTATGTCTCTATGCAGAAGCACCTGGTCAAATGCAAGGTGATCCCTCTCCCAAAAGCTGAGCAGAAAGTAGTGTTCAACGAGTTGTCCCAAGGCCTTGTAAGAAAGCTCTCTGTTCAAACCCCTAGAAAATGTCAGCATCTACCCCAATCCTGATGTGCCAGGTTTGAACCTAATTTCTTCCTTCCCTTTCCTGGTTATCACTTAGTCTCTCTCCCAGCTTCTCCTTAATAAGCAAAGTAAACCCCGTGCCTTATCATTCTTGACTTAGTAAATAGTTTGACTTGGCAAACAGTTCAACAATCAGTCCCTGGTAGCATATTGCCAGCTTGCCTCCTCGTTTCCATGTTAGCGTTGACAGGCATAGTCTGGGTGCTTGTTTTCCAAACTGCCGGGATGGGGAAGTGAGGGACAGTAGAAGAAAAGCCATGTCTACAGGTCACCCAGCCTAAGGAAGGTAGAGTCCCCAACTCCTGCCTTTTGTCAAAGGATCTAAAGCCAGATTGAGAGCAAGGGACAACCTGTCTCTGATATAGGATGCTTCCATAGCTTGCCTGCCACACACACTGGGATAATCAGGAATGTCTTCCTGCACCAGCAGCCAGGGACCATGTTGGGATGAAGGTGTTGATAAGGGGGATCCAAGAGAACAAGAGCTCCAGGCCCGCTGGCAACTAGAAACTGTCTCCCCCACCACCTCTCTCTCCCTCCAATGCCTCCCTCAGTTTTTCCAACCTGGCAGAGAAAGAGAGAGTGAGCAGACAGAGCCCTGGAATGTTATTCAGAAGCTGTGGGATCCAGTGGACAGGGCGGGATTGGAATTTGGAAAGACTTATGTCAGTATTTAATCTGGGCTGGAAAAAAAATTCTGCCAGGGCCTCCTCACAGAAGCCCTGACCTGCTGTGGGCCTGAGGAAGGCAGGGGGCTCTTACAGCCCCCAAGAATATCTGATCTAAATGCTGGGTCTAGTTACTCGTGGATATGGCCCACCTTCATGTGCCCACAATGCAGAACTTGAATTTTAGCACAGTCTGCCGCTCTGTGTTGGGACCTCTACCTCATTCCCAAATAGAATTGGAAGTGACAATGGAGCTCTGCCACCTCATGTCTCCCCAGCCCTTGTACACAGATACCCACTAAATCTATTCCCAAGGACCAAAAAATATTCCGTATCTTCTGCCCTCCTCAAAGGGTATATTTCCCAGCCCCTACTCTTCCTGAGAACTAACTCTTCTCCAGGCCTGAATTCTGCATCTGTGTGCAGTGCAAAGTGGTTTTGCTACAGCACACCCGCCCATCTCTGTTAGTTCTCACCGGGGACTAAAGGTGTAATTCAAAACCACCTTCCTCCTCAGCCTTCTGTGCCTTCTTCCTTGGGAACCTTCGTTTTCACACTCATTACCTCCGCCAGGAGGAACTCCCATCGCCTCTAAAAAGTGGGCTAGTGCCTACCCCCTTGCAAGAGGAGCAAGGTCTCTGGTGGGACAAAGCCGGCCTTGCTCCACAAGGAGGCTGCAGCTGCCAGAACTGTATCTGTGTATGATGTTTGCTCCAGACCCCATTGGCACCTCCTTCCAAACCAGTTCACAGAAAATGGAGAGCCAAGTGGGAAGCAGCCCTGACAGGCTTCAGAACTCCCAGGGAGGACTTGGCTGTCTCTTTTGGGGTTTTAACTGGGATCTTGATTTTTCTTTCACGTTACTAACAAACTGCGGACACAGGTGGTTGACTCATCCAAGAGGACAATGAAGACAGCTGTGGGAGGCTTTATGCTGCGACAAAGCAGAACTAGGTCTGTTTCAGAGCTTAGCGAGACTCCCCTACCAAAGAGGCCTCAGAGACTTCTGAGAGTAAAAAGAGGCAATGGCCAAGGGGGATGGCTCTGTCCACCCCACTCCACCCCCAAGTCTGGAGTTCAGATTCCCAGAATCTGCAAGGTCTTGTGGGAAGGACGCCCGAGGACATTCGCAACGTGCAGAACAGAGCACAGATGGAAGTCAGGGATTAGGAGGCTGTGTTTCGGAAGCTGGAACATTACCCTGGTGGTGGTGGTGGTGGTGGTGGTGGTGGTGGTGGTGGTGGTGGTGGTGGTGGTGACAGCCTGCCTGTAATTCTAGCCTCAGAAGACAGGTGATCCCCAAGGCAAGACAGCTAGCTGTCAAGAGTAGAGATATCAGCAAGCTCTGGGTTTGATCGAAAGACCTTACCTCAGTGAAGGTCAGCAATTGATGAGGGTTCCTGACATAAGCCTTGGGCCTCCATATACATGCATGCAGACTTGCATACATGTACAGATGTTTCATATATATGTAAACATGATACACATGTGCATACCACACACGCATGCATATTACACACATGAAAGTGGAAAAGAAAGAAAGAAAGAAATCAAAGAGGCAGACCACAAGGTGTGGTGGCTCACACTGCAATGGTCACACCCAGGAGGTGGAGGTAGGGGCATCTGGAGTTCAAGGCTATGCTTAGACACACAGTAAGACTGAGGCTGGCCTGTACTACACGAGAGCCTGTCCCCCAAAGTCAAAGAGGCCTATGTAATCATATGCTGGAGGCAGGGGAATCGTTTATGTTCGTATGTTTTTTGAGACAGGGTCTCTCTATGTAGCCCTGGCTGTCCTGGAACTCACTCTGCATTTTAGGTTGGCCTTGAACTCACAGAGATCTGCTTGCCTCTCCCTACCTAGTGCTGACCTAAAAGGCTTGTACCAGCCTCCACACTTGAGCACTGTGGCACTGCTGAGTTGCCAGCCTGCCTTCTGCTTTCTCATTCCATTTCCTTGAAGGCTCTGGCACACAGACACTTCTCTCTAAGGCCAGGATTTCTCTCTTTCGCTTCCGAACCTGCAAAATGACAGGAACTGTTCGAGAACGGCGTCCCTCCGTTTCTGGAGCGTCCTTGTAGTGGCTGTCAGCAAAGCCCTCTTTCCACAAGCAGCCAAGCCTTTAGAGCCGCTGTGGTCGCCACCTACCCTCTGCTTCCCCCTGCTGCCCGCAGACTGGAAAAAAGCAAGGCCTTGTGGGGAGGACACGCAAGGACATTTCTGGGTCCAGGGGAGCAAAGCACAGTTAAGGGTGGGGGAGTAGGAAGCTGAGGTGCAGAAGCTCAAACAGAGTCAACTCTGTTCCCAGCACTGTCCTAAACAGTCTGACTTCATTTCTAGGGCACCCTTCGCCCCCTCTCAACCCTTCCTCCCCACACTCAGTCTTTAGTCTTTATTTCGGCGGATTCAAAGGAGCCCTCTAAGCCAATGTTGTATCTGATTTCTCGACTGCGCTTCTCCCACCCACCCTTCTTGTTCCCGTAGAGTTCTCCATCAGCAGCTTCTGCACGGTGGTGGACGTCATGAACTTCTCCAAGCTGCAGGTGCTGCGCCTGGACGGGAACGAGATCAAGCGGAGCGCCATGCCGGTGGATGCGCCTCTCTGCCTGCGCCTCGCCAGCCTCATCGAGATCTGAGGGGCCTCGCCCAGGCTCCGGGCTCCGGGCTCTGGGCTCCGGGCTTCAGGCACACGTCTTCTCGCCACCCCGCTGCATTCGGCTTGAAGGTCTGGTTTGGCTTTTGCTGGACGGTCTGGGACAGGCATGCGACAGAAGTCCACATGATCTGATTTAAGTCTCCTTCCAATAGGCAAAGTTAAGTGGGATCAGGGTCCCAACCAACTTCCACAGAGAACAAAAGTGGCGGCAGAAGGAGTGGCCATGGAGTCCAGTCCCCTTCCCCACAAAATCTTACTATCCCTCAACTTTCCCCTGACCTAGTCAGCCTTAGTATTACGCTGCTTGGTCAGTAGCATATAGCCATTTCCAGACAACCTGACTCTGGGCTGTGTGCAAAGCATGGCCGGCTGGTTCTGCAAGTTGCTCTGGGCTCCTAGTCATTGCTCTCAAAACATACCTCTTGGCCAGCCTCCTCCTCCTCGGCCCAACTCATCCACTCTTCCTTCTTTTGCTGAGGTCTCTTCTATGCCTTAGACAGTCGGGAGACACCCCACCCCCACCCCAAGGCCAGTGGTTAGCTGTTCCGCAGCCTGTGGAGAGGGGCCACACTATTGTCTGAGGTTAAAGAATGTCTAAAATCACCGCTACACCTCCCTAACCTCACCTGGTTAAAGCCACCAAATCAGAGGTCATCAGCATAATGACGATAGTCAGGGCTTGGTACCAGAAGGCATAACTAGCTCTGTGATGGAGGATCGGATTTCAGAGGAGGGAGGGTTTGAGTGGCTGTGATCAGTATCCATAATGGAGTGGGGAAAGGTCACCCCTCAGACTAGAAGGACAGAAGGGGCAGCCTCCCTCTCTGGTTTTATCTGACCCAAAATGATCTGTGCTCCTTCTTGGGCTTTTTGTCTTGAAGGGGCAGCAGTGTGGTTTTGAAAATATGAGAAATCCTCCACCCATCCTTTGATCCAAGGAGGAAGGCTTGGTACACAGATGGCAGAGGCAGACTCCACCAGCCCTAGACCCTCCCGCTAACCCAAACTAGGGGTTGATCTCAGTACCTGGTTTGTCCCTCAGGCAAGAGTTTAAGGTACCAGCTCTGCTGCAAACGCTCACTGGGGTGTGGGAAGCCCAAGCCAGACAGCCAAGCCTTCTCCTCACTAGGCATAGCTTCCTTTGCTTTCACTTGATGGAGCCACACCTCATGTCGGAAGGTGCCTGTGATGTGTAGCTTGTCTGAGAGTAATCCTGTCTTCTCTTTTCTAAAAATGGTGTTGCCTGGGTTCAGCCCACAGGCTCATCTGCCCCCCCTCCCCCGCCATACACACACGGGGATGGAGCCATCTGGGAAGCCAGCAGCAAGGACCATTTGAGGGGTGTTAGCCCGAGTAGGGTCCCTGCCCAGATGCCTTAGACCCCTGACTCTGGGTGCACTTGGAAGCAAGCTTTTCTGAAAAGGGCAGAGGAGGGGGATTGCTTAGATTGTGTCCTGGGCTCCAGAACCTGAAATCCACAAAAGCCAAACCAGCTCGTTTCAACCAGGAAGTGCCGCTTGCGGGGCAGGGCTGACCTGCCCAGGGCTCTTGGGAAGCACCTGCATGCCAACACCATCATGTTCTATAGAGGGTCCTCAGCATGGACAAGCATGAGTGGTGGCTAGCCTGACCAATAAAGTTATTTTATAAGTGCATCTGCAAGGGTGGAGTCATTGGTCGCAGCCCAGTCACATAGGCCATGAACTGTATCAGCTCTTTCTTATAAAAAGTAGCCCATATAAAAACTCAAGTTACCAAGTGTTGTGTTATGAAAATTCGTAGTTTTAATCTCCCTCTCCCCATCTCCCTCTCCTTTTGTCAACACCAGGATGAAGGTGTATCACTGCCTTGATGGCTGCTGCCCTCTAGTGGCTCCAGCCAGAAACTGAGTGCTGCCCCGCCTAGCCAAGCCTCCTTGGTTCTGGATGAACTAAAGCAAGCCACCTACCCACTGTTCGGTCTTCTCAGTGCCTGTTTCTGAAAACCCTTCAGGTGTCATGTGCCAGGCTAATCAGTTAGCATTGTCATGAAGTGAGGAGGGTGACTTCATTTGTGCCCCTGGGGCTAGGAAGAGGGGAAGTGGCTGAGGAGGAATATATGCCAAATCCTGACCACCTCAACTCCAAAGTGAACTGAGGATGCCCTGGAGCATGTTTTAGGAAAGAATGTGGGGGTCTGAGTGCCTTGCAGATCTGGCTCAGAGGGTGTCGGGTGAAGGGGAGGAGATGGGACACTTCTGGAGTGGTCTGTCCAAACTACAGCTGCCTTCCAATTTTGACTCTTAGCAGCGAAGCTTCCTCAACTGCTGAGACAGACAGCTGAGAGAAACAACCTAAGGGAGGGAGGATTTATTGTGACTCTTAGTTTCACAAGGTCTCACTCTACCAAGGGAGGGAAAACTCTGTTCACCACAGCAGACCAGGTCGCTGAGAGCAAAGCGGAAACCATGATCTGGATATAACATGCAAAGGTCCACTCCTACTGACCTACTTCTGCCTGGAATCTAACTCCTGATGGTTCTGTAGCCTCCCAAAGAAGCACTGCCTGCTGCAGAACAAGCAGAATGGAAGCCTGTGAGGGACATTCTAAATCCAAACCATCATATCCTACCCCTAGCCTCCAGAGGCATCTTGTGGGCATGTCATAATGTATTTTAACCCAGCTTCAAAAGTCTTTTTTTTTTTTAATAGGGTCTCTCTGTGTAGCACTGGCGTGTCCTGGTACTTGCTCTGTAGACAAGAGATCCCCATGCCTCTGCCACCCCAGTGCTGGGATTAAAGGAGTGTCCCACTACTGCCCAACTCCAACTTCAAAAGCGTTAACAATCCCAACACCTTTCAGAAGACCAAGGTTCAAAGACTCCTCTGAGACTCAAAGCCACCTTCTAGCCACGAGGCCTGCAAAGTCAAAAGAATGTCACCCGCTCTTAGTCTATAATACAGGGGCAAGCATTCCTATTCCTAAAAGAGGAATGGGGACCAAGAGAGGAAAGTTGAAACTAAAACAAAACCAAATCCCAGAGGGGCAAGAGTCAAGTTCTGAAGCTCCACACCCAGCACTTACGGCATCAATGGACTTTGGCAGCCCTGGCCATATGCCCTTATAATGTTTGCAATGCACATGGTCTCCTTGTTTGGGTCAGGCTCCTTAGAAATCCTGTGCTCCTGGCAGATATGGCATTATCCGGGCTTCATGACTGGGGCTTTACCTTCATTGCCTCATGCACAACCTTCAAGGCTTCCTCTGCAGGGAATCCAGCATAACTACAGACCGCCTGGCCTCGCAGATCTTTCTTTGAAATCTTGCAGGAAACCTCCATGGCCCTATAACTCTTGCATTCTCCACCTGCAAAACCAGCACTGTGCAAATAAACAATGCCAAGTTCTGCTGTCAGCTGGAGTGGCAGCTGGAATTCCTTGGGCTGTGGCTACAGAGGCCTTTGAGTGCCCAGGCAGCTGAAGCCAGGAAAGGCTGCCCCTAGGCATCCCCTTGTGTGTAGAGCACCCCATTGGCATGCTCCCCTTAAAGAAGTCTTTCAACAAGTTTGCAGTTTTAGGCCCTGAAACCTGTGTGAGTGAGGTCTCACTAATTCATGCCCTGCGGAGAGGAACCTTCCATTGTCTTAATACACAGTGCTCAGCTTCTTCTACTGCCATTGTTGTCCTCTACAGTTTCTTCACCTCTAACTTTAAACAGCTCCCTTTTCTGGCCAAACTCCGTCTTCTTGCCTCCTTCTGGTCTGAATTTTTTTTTTTTTTAAATCCTGATTCTCACTGCAAACCTGCCCCTAAAGCAGCCAGCAAGAATGCTCTCTCGATATTTCCTCCACGAAATTATCTATTACAGTTCAACTCAGCCTCACTTAAAATTTCAGAACATGGGGCTGGAGAGATGGTTCATTTGGTAAGATCACTGTCTGCTCTTCCAGAGGTCTTGAGTTCGTCCCAGCAACCACATGATGGCTCCCAATCGTCTATACTGGAATCTGATGCTCTTCTGGCATCCAGGTGTACATGCAGGTAGAACGCTCATACATAAAATAAATAAATAAAACATTTTTAAAAATTTCAGGACATGTGAAATAGGTACATAATTCTTTTCCATTCTGTAATGCAAATGGCTTCCAGTCTAAATTCTTTGAGTCCTTGTTCACATTTAAAACCTCGTGAGAGGGGACTGGAGAGATGGCTCAGAGGTTAAGAGCACAGATTACTCTTCTAAAGGTCCTGAGTTCAACTCCCAGCAACCACATGTTAGCTCAAAGTCATCTATAATGAGATCTGATGCCCTCTTCTGGTGTGTAGGCACATATTCAGACAGAACATTATATGTATATGTGTGTGTGTGTGTGTGTATATATATATATATATATATATATATATATATATATATATATATAT